TCAAGAGCTATAAATATGCCTTTCCCAAACACCCCTCCTGGAAGAACTTCCAAAAGATGAGTTAAAATAGAGGGGGAGGAACCCACGAGGAAGGAGCTGCAGGGAGCCATGTAGAACAAGATGTAAGCAGGTGTTAGCCCCTGAGAAAGAGCAGCTCCCCAAATGCCAGGTGGTGATGTAAAGACCAAGGAGATTAGGATTAAAGCCATCTCAAGGCTTGCATCGTGTAGGAGGAGACTTTTTTTTTTTGGATAAGTTTTACTTTTAGTTTATTTATTATATTACAGGAACTTTTTAAAAGACAGGGTTTCAAAACTGGGTGCAGTGGTACCTTAATCTTGAGTTCAAGGCAAGCCTGGTCTACACAGTAAGTCAAATTCCTGGTTTTGCTATTGTTGTTCAGATTGGCCTCAAACTATGACCAGGCTGACTTCACACTTAGAGTTCTCCTGCCTCAGCCTTCCAAATTCTTGGATTGCACGTATGTGCCACCACACTTGGTTTATAGCAACGTAGTGTTGCACACCTGTAATCCCAGCCCTTGGGAGGCTGAGGCAGGAGGATGTTAAGTGTAAAGCCAGACTGAGCTGTGTAGTGAGACCCTGTGACAGACAACAGCAACAAAACCCAAACCCAAACCCAACCAATGAAATAAAACAAATAATAGAAAGTGAAGAAACAACTGGAATACAGAAACTGGATGCTCTGGAAATCAGGATATGTGTGTGTGTGTGTGTGTGTGTGTGTGTGTGTGTGTGTAAAACCAGGCAAGAGAACTAAAGACATCAGTAACCATAATAAATATACGGAGAACAGCTTGTTTCATGGTCTTCAGACTGTGTCATGAGAGGATAGCCTTTATGCTAGGAGGTCCAGAAAATACAAAATAACCCAACGTGGTTGAAAGCAAAGAGCTGAGAAAAGATACCACATAAGCACTGAGTGGTAGGATGACTTACCACCATGAGTGGTCGATAAAGTGGACTGTAAAGTTAAACACATGGGGTTATGGTGCTCTCAACAAGAGAGGTGTATGAGTTATTTTCTACTCATTAGATTTCCTTGTGTGTACATGTATGTGTAGTGTGTGTGTATACATGTGTATGTGAGTGCATGTGTACATATATGTGTAGTGTGTGTATACATTTGTGTGTGAGTACCCACGCAGAGGCCAGAGGGTAGAACTCTTCTGCTATTGCAGTCCATCTTATCTTTGTAAACAGTAAGATATTTATTACAGTGAAAGATCATTACATACAGCTAGTAGCGATGAGCATTTAAGCCATTCAATATACACATGTCAAGAATCAGCTAGGATCTTCTCTAGCCCATAGAAAAGTACCAGGCCTTGATTCCAGCAACCACCGTATAGGTTAAGACAAGGTCTCCCACTGAGCCTGGAGTCCCAGCTGTCTAGACTAATTGGCCAGGAGGCTTCAGGGAACCATCTCTCTCCAGCACCACCGCCTTCCAGTGCTGGGGGTAGACATGTGCCACCATGTCTGACCTTGTGTGGGTACTGGGGACCCAAATGTAGGTCCCCATCCTTGCCGTGTTGGTACTTCACCAAGTGAGCCATCTCCCCACTCCCGCATTAGGTGTTTAAAGGGTCTTTCTCAACCCACTGGCTGAGCTGGTTGCTCACAAATGTGCCAACACCCACTGTTGCAAATGCTGCTCAAGAACAGAGTTCTAGACTAACCCACTCTGAGGCATTCTACAGTGCAGGTAGATGTCAGTAACCGTGCAGGTGCCTGCCACTAACACACAGCAAAAGGAAACACGAGTGACTTCCAGAACAAGCAGCCGACTCTGCTCTGCTTTGACTTGGTTTTGCCAAAGACCTGAAAAGAACTCCCCAAGCGTCTTTACAAAGAGAAAGTGGAACTTGCAGCTCTGCGCTCTGAGACTTTTATTAGGTAGTGGAAAAGAGTTTTGCAAACATCTCCCCTCAACCCCCGCCCCTGACTTCTACATGGGGAAATTGGTCTTTCCAATATTAAGTCTATTCTCACAATCATTGGGGTGTCAGCCCAAATGGCAAAGACATCCTAAGACCCTCCTGGGAGACATCTCCTGCCAATTCAGGGATTGGTACTATGAGCATCACCCAGAGGCCCATCCATTCTCTTCCTTCTCCAGCGGCCTTCCAGCCACTGCACTGGATTAAGCACTTTCCTTCAAGGCAATTAGGAAAACTTGAGGGACTAAGTGATGGCAGCTGTTGCTATGCGAGTGTCTGTTTTGCCAGGAAGCAGGAAAACAAGTGAGCTAAGAGCAGTTGGGAACTAGAGATTATGAAGAGCGACAGAGGCAGAGTCCCGGCAGCCACGCTTTCCCTTCCTGCCGTCACCACACAACCCCAGAACCTCTGCACCAGCTGGCCAGAGCCCAGAGTTATGAAATTACAAAACCATGCATGTGCTCAGCACTTTGTGCACCCCTGGGGGAGGACCACACTTTTGATAGAGTGATCGGTTCATCCGCCTTGGTTTGGAGCATTCGAGGCTGTCAGAGATGAACACACTCTTTTCCTTATTAGTTAACACAAAGAGAGCTTATGCTGACATGTTCTTATTGCACTTTAGACGTTGCTTTTGTGCCAACCCCATTTTACAGATTAGGAAATTGAGGCTCTGAGAGCATAAGCAACTTACTGTGCAGAGCTGAGATTCAGTCTCAGACTGTCAGGTTTAGAATCTCTGTCCCCCTCTTCTCCCTCCTTCCCCTCCCTTCCCATTGTGCATGGATGTGATGTGGATGCCTGTCCATGTGGTGGGGTGGGCGGATGCGTTTGTCACAGTGCTCACATAGTGGTGTCAGAGGACAGTTTCCACCGTCACCAATGTTTTCCATCCTGTCTGAAACACAGCTTTCCCGTTTGCTGCTGCGTGTGCCAGGCTCTGGTATGTCAGCTTCCAAGGACTCTGCTGCCACCGCCTCCCATCTTGCAGGAGTACTGGGGTTATAGGTGCGTGCTGCCACGGCAGGCTTTACGTGGGTGCTAAGGATTCGAACTCAGGTCCTCATGCTCACACAGCGAGTGCTTTACCTCCACAGCCAACGCCACAGCCAAGAGCTGGCTACGAACTGACAGGATTCTTGAATGCCTTTCCTCAGAGCCATACAGAATTGGAAGAATTTGGTAATTACAGGGACATTAAAAAATTGCAACCAGACTAGGCGAGAGCACTTGCCCATGCATGTGCAAAGCCCTGGGTTTGGTCCCCAATGAGGCAAAATCAATAACTATGAATAAATAAATCACAGCAAATATGAGTTGACACCTGCATCAAGAAGCTTTTGATTTATCTGTGCACTGAAGTCAAGTCCATAGCATCAGTCATATTCCTGTGCACACTGGAAGAGCAAGCAGACTCTCCACGGTGACTTCAGAAACAAAGCGGCAAAGCGATGGGAAACCTTGGGGAGGGAAAGCGCTGCATGTTGATACCACACTGCACTCTGGTATAAGCCAGGGGGAGGGAAACGGTTGCATGTTGACATCACACTGCACTCTGGTATAAGCCAGGCCACTGCATGTTGATACTGCACTGCACTCTGGTATAAGCCAGGGGAGGGCACACATGGGAGCCCTGGAAAGATAGGTGTGGCCACTGTCTGGGAGACCACTGATCTTGACATCTAGTGTGTGGCTTCCCCAGATCCACAGACTTATTCCAATACAGGGAACTGTTCCCCAGATTATAAAACTATGGCTTCATTTCAATGAACGGAGCTGATTGTGAAAGGGACCGCACAAAGCGGCCATCTTTAATACTTAATTCCAAGACTGTGTAAGTGCTACCATGGCAACTTCCTCGGACATTGTGGTTGTCCCTCTTCAATTGTTCAGCGACTTTGACTTTTTCAGAATGAACTTGACATGTAGTTACCCACTTAGGCTTGGAGTCAGCTTTCTGCTGAGCAGCCCTTCCAGCAAGCGGGTGACAGAAAAAGGACTCAGGATGGGGAAGGGGGCGAGAGGCTTTGTTTCAGAGTCTACCGGGTCACATAGCTCTGCATCCCACCCACATACCTCTCCCCAAGCACCCTCCCCTGCAACACCATCTGCTCTCTCTTCATCTTGGTTTTCTCATCTTTAGAATGGGCCCAATCATTTCTGTCCCAATAGAATGAGCGACAGGGTCTCTTGGATCCCACCTGTGGCTGGAAGATGACCTTGATTTCTGATCCTCTCACTTCCGGAGTGCCATCTGCCTCCACAGCTGGTTCATCAGGTGCTGGGGTGGAGCCAGGGTTCGCTGGTTACAGCTCAATAGTAGATAGACTACTTACAGAATGAAGAAGACTCTCTGTCAAGGGCTATGAAATGGAGCTGGGAGTCTTGTTGTGTAGCGCATTCTGGTCTTGAACTCACAATCTTCCTGCCTCAAACCCCTAAAGTGCTGGGATGATAGACTTGTGCCACCATGTCTGCCTACCATAAATAGTTTTTATATTAATTGCATGTTGAAATGATAAGATTTTGGATATCAACAAGTAGATATTAATTAATTAATTAATGATAATGCCCATTAATGATAATTGATTATCTAGGTCAAATAAGATATATTATCTAAAACATTCTCACCTGCTTCTTTTTGTTAAACGAGATGGAGAAAACTTAAAATTACACATTTTATTTCTATGGGACCATCCAAATCTAGAATGTTCTCAACATACCATTACTTATGGCAAATCCTCACAATCTCATTTGTGCTCAAGTATGAAACAAACTTTTGGGATGTAGATAATTTACTGAGAACAGTGTGTTCTAAGAACCAAAAGTGCATCAAACTAGGGCTGGGGTGTAGCTTGGAGGTAGAGCACTCGCCTAGCATGCCTGAGGCTCAGTCTGAGCCCAGGGCTGCAAGAAAGAGTTTTACAAAGTTACAGCCCATCCAGTTGGTTCTGGAGGTTTCTCAGTGCAGGCTTGTTAAGGGGCAGGGGTGTGTGGTGTGGAGAAGGGGCTAGCTAAGCCTTGTGGCCTTTGCCAGGTTCGCTGCGACCCTGAGATCCAGGAGCTGCGGCAATGGCAGAAGAAGCTGCGTGAGGACAAGCATATCCGGCAGCGTGTGAAGATCTTCTGGGCCAAGCAAGAGCAGAAATGTGAGTGGTGGGCTCCACACCCCACGTTTATTCCAGAAAAGGCTGATCCTTCCCCTGAACTCTAGAGGGAAACTCTCTTGGAGGCCTGCAGACTCTGTGTGTGTGTGTCCTGTTCGGCAGCTACAGAATCCACAGGATGTAATTTACACGGCCATTCCCCTCACTCAAGGACAACTTCTGTGTCATCTAGCATCCGAGGGCTTTTATTTTCTATCTATGAGGCTCCAAGAACAAGCTGTGATTTGGGGAGCCATGTTATTGGCAGGGTGAGCAGGTCATCACCATCCCCAACTCCTGCTGTCTGACCATCAGTGGGTTTATTTCCATCTTTATTTCCACACAGGGCAATCCCGTGTGTCAGTCTGGCTGGGTCAGGGGATGCTCGGGTAGTTGGTGAGTGCTATTTCTGGGTAGATGGCTTTGAGGGTGTTTCTAGAAATTGGATGTGAGTTTGAACTGGTAGGCTGAACAGATGGCTGCCTCTCCAGTGATGAGGACCGGAATAGGATAAAGGGTGAGAAGGATTGAATTAATGGCCTGCATACACAGAATCCTGGTGTCCTGCCTCCCCTCTGGGTCTCCTGGGCCTCGGGCTTCAGATGTGGGCTGAACTCTCCAGCTCTCAAACCTCAGATCCACCTTGCCACGTGTGTAGGCATGTTAACACACACATGTACACACCCCTCCATACTCCTCCCCTACTTGCAGATGGCAGATGGTGGGGCTTCTGTGAACCAGTGCTTTGTATTGCTAAATCCCCTTCTTTGTCTATGCATATATTTTTTATTGGAAAAAGAACATATCAATATCAACACCAGCATATTAATCATGGTGAAGGTTCTGTTTTCTTCCCCCTCTTTGGCAGTTGTTTTTCTGTTTTTCCTACTGTGACTATATAGTAAGTGAAAGTTTAAAAATAAAAGAAAATGGGAGTGGGGCGCTGGCACAATGGTTCAGTCGGTGAAGAGCTTGCTGCCTAGGAGTGGGGATCCGAGATGGAACCCCAGCGCCCAAGTATAAAGCCAGAAGCAGCAGTGTAAGATGGTAAGCCGATGCCGTGGGTGGGGACAGCAGGGGCCTCTACAGCCTGCTGGTGAAACAGCCCAGCTTAACTGGTGAATTCTGGTTCAGTGGGAGACTCTTGTCTCAATAAATAAAGTTAGGAAGTGTCTGAGGAAGATAGCCACCATTTACATCTGGCCTCCACGTGCATGAGCACAGGTGTGTGCACATCCACGGGTGTGAACACATGTATCACACACACGTGCACACACACATGCACACACACACACACATACACAGGAACATGCACATGAGAAAGAAAAAAAAACGAAGAGAAAGGACAGGATGGCAGGAAGGAGAGAAGGGAGAGAGGGAGAGCAACTGAGGGAGGGAGAGGGAGAGAGAGGTAAACAGCTTCAGCAATTACTTCTGTTGGGCTGGCCCAGCCTGTGCCTTTCTTTAGCCCAACTGCCATTTCAGTTCAGTTCAGAACTGGGACTCAATCAGGGCTGTAATCAGTTTAAAGGTCACAGGAAGCGCGGTACACCTATTTACTGCAGCTGTTCTGTATTCTTTGGAGTTGATTGGCTGTTATTTGATTGGTGGGCTTGGCTTGCTGTGGAGCAGGAAGAATAGAGTGGACTGAGTGCCAGCAGGCGGGCAGAGGAGACTCTACTCTACTGTTCCCACCTTCTCACCTTGCAAGGGCTCCAAGACGCTCCTCTCTCGCAAGACAGGGTCTTCAATAAATATGACCTATTATAATTTAAACCTTAATATGGCTCCATGCTAAACTGCCCTTTATGCCGAAACTCTGAAATAAATTTAATCTAAAGACCATTTCTGGCTCATGGCCGGGGAAGGCAGGACAGGATGCACAATAGCAGAGCTGCCCCAGGACTCTGGCTGCCACTTCCATCCATGTGGCTCTAACTAGCTGACTTCACTGGGCCTTAGTTCCCCCATTTCGAATGGGACCAGTGATAAAGTTCCTGTCACATGCAGCTGTTAAAGGAGTCTCACAGATGATCTTTAGCCTGACACACAGTGCCCATGAATGTTCCACACTGTCACAAAGTGTTTTCGAGATATATGTGTGCTTTTCAGTGACTTGGGGTTTGTTTCCTTTGACTGACAGACATTAAACTCTGTGGGTTCCAAGTGGGTTAGTGTTTATCTTATTCACCAAAGCTTCACGAAGATCAATGGTCTACACACACACACACACACACACACACACACACACACACACACACACACATATTTGAGATATGAAGCTCTTGGCTTCACTTTATAGTAGAAGAAACAGAGTCCAGAAAGGTCTAAGGACTTGCCCATGTACCAGAGGGCTGGCTCAGTTGGTAAGACACTTGCCCATGGACCAGAGGGCTGGCTCTCTTGGTAAGACACTTGCTAAGCGTGTGTGAGGACCTGAATTTGAGCCCCAGACTCACATGAAAGTTGGGTGAGGTGGCACACACGTGTCATCCCAGTTCTGGGGAGGCTGAGAGAGAACCCCTGGGGCTTGTTGGCTAGCTGTTGTTGTCAATCAGCGAGCTCCAGGTTCAGTGAGAGACTCTGCCTCCAAAATGAAGGTGGAGACTGACTGAGGAGGACACCTGGTGTCAACCTCTGCCCCACACGCATGAGCACACGCGTGGGTGAGCACCCCATGTGTGAGCATTAGTGAGCTTATTGCCCCCACATCTTCACTCTCTCATCTCCTAAGGCTTCCCCAGGGACCGATGCACAAAGCTCCCTACTCTCTTCTTCACAGTGCTGTAGCTGTAACCCAGAGCTGCACGTCCTAGGCAGGCACCCCACCACCCAAGCGGTCCTCGGCCCTGGGAGCTGCTGCCCAAACTTCTCAGGAATCATCTCAAACGACACATGGCCATGGCCAGTTTCTTATCAGGGCATCAGAATTCTTGCTGTCTGGGTTTGTGTTGCCTAAGGTTTCTAGGTTGGGGCTGGATGAAGAGGAGCAGCATGTAGTCTGGTACACCCTGCATGGCCCATCATTTCTTGCTTCCTTCAGGTATCAACAAGCCAATCAGAAAACAATATTTCCCTAGCCAAGATGACACAGGGGTCATGCCTCAAAGACCTACTGTATGGCAGCTTTTGTCCTTTAGATTTGCCATTAAAAAAGAAAAAAAGGGTAGTCATAGTAAGTGGTAATGGTTTTGGACTCCATTTAAAACTTCCTTGTGTGCATATGTCAGACAAATGTCACTCTAAGGTGTTCTCATCATATGGTCCCATGATCTAGTGTTTACATGTGAGCAGTCTCCTGCAGACGCGAGTCTCAGGGAGGAGCATCAGCTGTCCCCAGGCAGACTCTTGGTCATGTGCAGTTGGGTCTCAGGTTACACAGAGCCAGAGGCCACTGTCCCCAACAACATTCTCTTCCAGACAGAAACAGTGTGAAGTTCTCCTGTCACACTCCAGAAGGACAGGTGCACAGATTATTTTTAAATGTATGTCTTCAGAATTCCAGCCCAGGCAGTCCAAAGATGCCTTGAGATACAGTCAAAAGTCCCATCCCAAAGAATAGCGTGTTTTTAGTTGTGTTCCGTCAGTGATTGGTTTCATATGTTCTCTGTATGTGAATGCCTCTCACTGAACTCAGTGGGCTCATGTTCGGGTGAGCACAAAGCCAAAGTAAACACAGCTGAGAAATCAAAGGGTAGAGAGGGAGGGGTTTAGTACCTACAGCAGGTGGGAAGGACACGGGAGTCACTTCCAGAGCCACGGTGCTCTCCCTGACCGAAGGAAGCATGGGAGTTTTATTCATAAAGCTTCTGCATATGCCTACGGGAAAGCAGCGTATGAGCAAGCATATTCCTGAGTATCTCCATTTAAGGGCAGAGTTTAGGAAGGGAAGAAGGCGGGGCATATTTGGGGGCATCCTTAGCTTAAGTACATGAGTTACAAAGTTTAAAATTAAAGATACAGGCACCTCTAGGCATGCTCAGCTAGAATAATGAAGATGATAGGCAGTTGCCTCTGGACATGTTCAGCTTTAAAAGTGTGTGTGTGTGTGTGTGTGTGTGTGTGTGTGTGTGTGCGCGCGCACACGTTCATTTGTATGTTTACAGGGGAGTGAGCATGTGCATAGGACAGGTTCAGCTGTCGTTCCTCGGCTGCTGTCCATCTTATATTGCTTATCAGTCTGGTGGTTTTGAGACAGGGTGTCTCATTTGCCTGAACTGGCCAAGCAAGCTGGACTGGCTAGCCAGTGAGACCCAGGGAGCCTTGAGGATCTGTCTGTCTCTGTCTCCCAGTGCTGAATTACAGCTCTGGATTTTAAAGTGTGGGTTCTGAGAGATCAAACTCAGGTCCCCATGCTTGCATGGCAAGCATTTTACCCACTGAGCCATCTCCCCAGTTCCTAAAAATTTTTATCTACAGCAGTGGTTCTCATCCTTCCTAATGCTGTGACCCTTTAATACAGTCCCTCACGTTGTGGTGACCTTCAACCATCAAATTATTTCATGCTACATCATAGCCATAATTTTGCTACTGTTATGATATTAATAACCATCTAATATGCAGAAAAAAGGAAGAAAAAAATGACAGTTTGAGGTGCACTAATACAGGTATTTGTCCCTAAGTGCTAGCCACACTTAGAGGCTGCATGTCCACATTTTATTTGGAAATCCAAGAGAAAGCAGACCCAAACAAAAATTTTAGCAATTGTTCCCATAACACCAGAATCTATTGTATGCACATGCACGCATACACACACACACACACACACACACACACGGTAACTTTCTCATAAGATATATACATTTTAAATATGAACAAATATGCTTGAAATGACTTTATCACTTTATATTTAGAAGAGAGGGTGGGGGACACAATCTGTCAAAGGAAGCGTTTTACCTCTTGTTTCCCACCTGCTCATTCCACATTCCAGTGGCTTGTGGCAGTCCCAGAAATACACAGTAACTTTAGGCAAATGTGGCAATTGACTTTAAAAAAATTAAGGT